TCTTCAAATCACACAAATCTGCAGTGCATAAATCTCCAAACACATGGGTGTGAACCCTGCTGCTCCTCACTCGCCGCTCTGCTCCGCTTAAAGGGTGGGGCTCAGTGTAGGCTAAAAATAAGTGGAACAAGTGGAAAAATCATTTCTTCAAAATGAAGGGGGATGTAGGGATGGCGTGAATTATGAAAAAGGATGCCAACAAGAAGATGCTTCAGCCGACAACAAAATCATACATCCATCCCTACATCTTTCTTTAACTCACAACCTCAACTGTGTTTTATAATAATATTATACCTAGTTACTCCCAATAACGAGTGCCTAGCCACACATTCTTAGACAGAGCAAAAGAAAGAAAGATGTAGGGATGGATGTATGATTTTTGTTGTCGGCTGAAGCATCTTCTTGTTGGCATCCTTTTTCATAATTCACGCCATCCCTACATCCCCCTTCATTTTGAAGAAATGATTTTTCCACTTGTATTCTTATGGACTTATTGGCATAGCTATATATATGCACGTGGCTTGTTAAGGGTCAATTTGGACATCAAAGGTGTCTTAGTTTGACAATCGCCTGCCATATGCATGTGTTCAGAGGCCAGTGAGTGGCTGCGGGTGTATGGCCATGCCACGGCACTATATATACATAGCTAAGTCAGCCGACAAGAAGTACTTACGTCAGAAATTATGCCTCGCCCACAGGACCGGACCCGATTTCCCAAAATCGCTCATAGACTGCTAGCTATCCCCAGCGTGAGGGTATGGTATTTATAGGTGCCGCTTGTTTCACTCTATATATCACCAGCAGAGGGACAGTAGAGCTACCCACTGACCAATTAGCTACAGTGACGCCTGCATCGCGTTCATAACACACTCATGCCCCCAGAGACACAGAGAACACACTGCTACTTACCGCCTGATATCAGAGAATTTCACAGTGAAGCAGAGGCAATAGCTATATACCTATATACTCACACGGACGATGACCACATACAACTGCATAACTGAAGGGCGCACTGTGTCTGTGCATTTATTCATCAACCCCGCCGTGTATAGTGACGTTAAGTGGACACTTCCAGATTGGTTGTAAATGCCAGGGTTTACTCCTCCGTCGTTCATTGGCTGCTTTACGCGTGCTGCGCGGGAAACGCGCGTGGAGAGAAGTATGTATATAAGGTGAGAGACAAGCTGAAATGGCCAATATAACGCCAGACCTTGAGCCACCAAGGAAGCGCTTCAGACCCAGCAAAGTTATATAGTTGCTTCCAGTACCTTCCTGCTCTTCTCACTTCTTCGTACTACACTTTACCCAGCACATGTCCACAGAAAAGATTGACCAGTCACATACTCCAGCCTTTTGCTTGATAATCAAGGAAAAAATACTGCCAGAAAATCGTCAAATCCCTCTTTTTTTGGTGTTGACCTGTGATGCATCATGCCCATACATTTTGAATGGACACGCAGCATTTTCAAGCAAAATACTCCAAATCAAGCAAATTTGACACATTTCTCAAGCAAAGGTTTATCTGCAGGTCGATAGGTATGCAATCATTCACATGTAACAATAGACCATGTTACTGTGGACGGTTGCTGTCGGTGTTACACACGTGCAGAGACCTCTTTTCACTCATCCCTCGGTCGCGTGTGTGTGCGCGCGCACTAGCGCAGGCGTGCACAAAGAAAATGGGGTAAATCCTGGCATTTACAACCAATCTGGAAGTCTCCACTACTAGGCACGGGGCCTGTATTATACACGAAAGATATTCCCTCTAGCCCGGGAAATTTTCTGCGGCGATCCCGTGCAGCGTGTTATCAGTGTCAAAATAGTACGCTCGTGCGGTCGATCATATATTGACGAGCGAGCCCCTCCCGCGAGAAAAAAATTGCGGTGGATGAGCCAGAGGTTGAGGGCTGACAGCAAGTGTAGCGGCCCGGTGCCTGCGCCCACCACCACGTCTGCTCCCGTTCTTACTCCATATTGCGGCTCTCTAGGCCTCCTATATAGTAAAATGTGGACCGACCTCCTAGTAAAACTGACCGACCTTCAAGTAAAATCACAGTCATTCAAACCTATAATTGCCGAGCGCATTAGCGCGAGGCAACTACTCTCCGGGTTGTATTCGCGTATTATACGTACGTCCGTACGTTGTCAATTAGTCACGCTTAGGAATGTAAATTAGTCACCAAAAGGAAGTGTAACTTCGTAGGAAGTCTAGCTTCCGCAGATTCGTATAATAGGAAGCCAGTAGAGCGCGCGCACGACGCTGGCAGGCGCGAGGCAAAATATGCGCGTGCGCATTCACTAAAATGGGGAAGATCATTGTATCAGTCAATAATATCGGTGGTCCAGTGTTTGTCAGTGAGGAGATGAATGAGGGAGAGAAGGGGCGGAGGAGGAGGAGAGGGTTGACAGAGAACCAACCATCACCATCTTGTGTCTGGCTCTGGTCAGAGCTACATTCACCCTCCTCCAGTCACACAGCAGATTACCAACCTGGGTAGGGGGTAAAACATAGCTACCACCAGGAAACAAAAAAATCTCTTGCTGACATCTTTGGCAGGTGTGCATGGCTAATCGTAGGAAATACTCAGGCACTTGCATAAATCGTTTGTCATGAAAGTCATAAGGTGGAGGAAATTGGTGATGAGGAAGAAAAGGAAAAACAAGGAAAAACAAGGAAGTCAGGAAAAAAAAAGGAAGTCAGGTGATGATGTATAAACACTGGCTGTATGAGCATCTCGCTGCTAGGTTCATAGCAGAGAAGGTGACTTTATAACGTACAGTATGGGTCGTTAAGTGGGTAACGCAATTGTTGTTCAAAAAAAGTGCTGGTTCAGTTGACAACAATTGTTTTTGTGCTCTTTGCCATTGCGTACAATGCTCTGTAATGTACCTGTGACCTGATAGCAAGTTGTGGGACATTTGCACATCATTGCACAGCACTTGTATTGTACATGTTTGCACAGGGTGTAAGTGCAGTACATAGATACAAGCACATATCTATACAATTGCTGTCCATTGTGTCAACTGCAGGTTTGTGTGACTTGTAGCACACTTGATAACATTTGCTACCTGATCTTGACACTTGTATGGGAATTTTTGTGGTGTGTCAATTGCAACTCAATAGTATTACTTTGTTTTTGACCCGTACTGTACGTACTACTGAATCACAAACTATAGCTAATGTATGGGATTCTCCACTCTATAATTATGTCTAACTACAAATCAAGACGGCATACGGATGGCACAGTTTTACATCATCTCAGAAAAATTCACCGAGAAAAGGCAAATCAATTCTCCCCACAAATTACTTCAGTTTCGATGTCTAGAGCGGGTGGTAGGGGAGGGAGGGGGCACTCCCTGAACTGGGAGAGGAGCGGGTGGCACAAACACATTTATGCACTCCCCCCTTTTACTTTCTACAGTGCACTAAAAGCCTGTCATGTTCAGCCACTAGCGGTTCATGGACTCTTTTAGTTTTATGAGAACAGTGAGCATGTCCATCTTGCTAAGGTATGCTAAATAATAATGGTAGACCATTTTCCCAACAATTTTACATCATGTTGAAAAATTGTTTATAATTATGTGCACTCACATTCTTGTTGGGGTTACTCCTGACGTAGGATATAATGATGCAGTCCTTGTCCTCCCCTGGTATCGATCAACAGTGTTCACCTCCACATGGTTCTCTGCTGATATAGCAACACTAGCGGTCATGCCTGGATTAACAAATTGAAAAGGCATATCACTAGAGGAATGCAATGCATTGTTGGCGAGCGAGCATGAGCAGTTGAATATTTCGCGCGTGATTTGCATGTACATAATATTTCGAATCACATAGAACATTACGGTATGTGAAGTGCCTGACAGAGTCACATATAATTGAAGGGCTGAGAACCACAATGGTCTAACTGAACACCCCTTGACAAGAAATTACCATTAGAATGTGTTTTGGAAGGAGGCAGCAAACTTAAACATCTCTATAATTACACCCATACTTTTTGCACTGTTTAGGCAATTTGTCATACTTAAATTTGGGATAGACCACTCTGGTTCTCAGCCCTTCAATTAGAGAAAACTCCTCTGTTTTAACGACTAGGTATATAGGCTCGCATCGCTCATCAATAAACATGCAGTCTGAAACACAAAACATCCACAAAGACACACATACACTAACACTGAGTCAGAGGTAAGTTGATTAGAGCCTCCTTGATTTTGGTCTGTTGATGTCTGTAAGGTGTGACCACACCCACCTGATCTCCAGTTACTCCACACTTTACACAAAAACAATTAAAGTGACATATATACTCCACACGGTATGTAATTAATGCTTGCCTGCAGCAGTGACGATATGAGTTTAGTGACAATTTCAACTTCTGACTTGTTCCATATCTTCTCCCCACATCCACTGCTTTCTGATCCATCCTCTAGCTGTTAATACACGTTTTCATCTTGGTATAGTTGCATATAATCACAAAATCCAAGGCATTTAATCTGCTCGTGACCATTGATTATGGTCATAATCTTAAGTAACCCTCGGCGCGCATGCGCAATCTGTCTGTCTGTTACCAAGTTTTCTGCCACTACGCGCAACGGGACAACAAAAGAGCGATACCAAAAGGTTCAGCGCTACACTGGCTTGATTTTAAATTTGGCGAATTTCGTAAATGTACTGCGTTCGAGAGTTATGGCGTGAAAACCAACAAGTGAACAAGCCAATATTCTAACCGGGACCGCTTGCTCTGTGTATCTTGAAGGCACAAGAAGTCACAACGAATGGCGTGTAAGGACTCCAGCATGCTATCTACTACTGTAGCTAGTCCGTGTCAGACTTTCCCGTGAGCTACCTAGCAAGAGACCACGAGTAAACGCATTCTAATGGCCCAGCCCATCAATTAGCCGTACCGCGCATGCGCAGTTCGCCGAGGGTTTTGCACTTCAGTGCTTTTCATTGTTGTTTGGGAGAGGATTAATGTAGAAAACTTTGACCATCCACGCACTTCCTATGCACAACATAGCACATGTAATGGATATGGTGAGTATATAGCTCCTATACAAACATCCTGTTCTGAGCACTTCAGTACACACTTATGTAGCTCCTATTGCATCATTCACTCTTGCAGACACATGCCAGAGAAAATAAAGTGGACAGGAAGCACCACACTTGGCACACACACACACACACACACTGAGCTAATGGTACGTTTGTACATCTACCTTGTCAGTATTGAGGAAGATGACAGGTGTGTCAGGACTGAGAGACCGACGGAGCCAGCGAGGACAGTCACGTGACAGACACTGAGGTAGTGGGAGGGCCAGTCTCCCTGATGCCACACCCACACTCCCACACTTTAGCTGGTGGTTGTAGAACAGGGTGTTGGACAGCAGCATTATGTCACTGGAGATAAACAAGATGGAAAATAAACTTTGGGTTAGGAACATGGTGCCTGTGTGCATGTGTACAGAGGCACTTTTGGAACAAAAAAGAAAAACAGAGATTCGACTGGAGATTTGTTTAAAAGTAAAAAGAAAACTGTGGGTTAAAAATATGGTGCCTGTGTGCATGTGTACAGGCACTTTTGGAGCAAAAAAGGAAAACAGAGATTCGACTGTATATTTGTTCAGCAGTAAGTCTATGATTCGAGACAGTAACAGCTTTAGCTACGTCATACCTGTTCATACGATACTGTTCGTCCAACATGACCATACTGTTGGGGTGGTGCTCAGAGAGCAGGCGAAACAGACTCACTCCAAGTCCTCTCTCCCTGTACACCAGTCACCAGAGAACCATTCACAAAACATACACTTACCCAAACAAAGAAATTGTAAACCCGAGCAGTTGCCATTGAGGTTAACAATATTTACAGCTATATACCGTGGTTGTGCATGTCTTCAAAGGTGCCGCCAGAGAGCAACACACTTATCAACATCTGAGCAGTTGCCATTGAGTATAACTTGGTTGTGCATGTTTTTAAAGGTGTAGCCTATTGATATTCCTGGTCGTATGATAGAGTTTACAGGATATCCTGAGAGGATGTCCCAATGAATAACACAGGAAGTGATATCCAGAGCGACTTGCTCTCCAGAAAAAATATGTATGGATATTCACGTCAGTATAAGAATAATGTTACCTATTATGTGTAGGAAGGTGTACAGACTCACCTGGCCTCAGAGTCTCTGACCAGAGGTGGTAGCTGGTAGTGGTCCCCGACCAGCACAAACACTGCCGCACACCGCAGAGGACCGAGGCTGACTGGCAGTGTCAGCTGAGACGCCTCGTCCACGATGCAGTAGTCAAACGTTCTCCGAGAGAATACGGCATGGTTCACTCCGAGGCAGGTAGTGGCCACTACAGACTGGCATGGGATAAAAGTGCATACAGCAACAATGAAAATTGTAACACAAACAACTCGGTATCACATACCGAAGACACTCACATTGTGCACAAAATATTCTTTCCCCTTAAAAATGGTACGAATGCAAGGCTAGTGCACCATTCTCATGGCGTGGTTTACTCATAGTGGCAACTACATGCTGGGATCATACAAGTGCTATAATACACACACCTCAATATAGGGAAAATGAAAGCAAAAGATGGGTAAGAGTCAACACAGATACTGAAGACACACTCGTTACACATAGTCTTGTGCACAGAACATTCCTTCCCCTCATGTCAGCTCTCATCAGCAGAGCATACTGCATTCCTTCTCTCCAGGCACCAAAGTTTATAAAGCCTACTAATAGAACATAGCTACTATGCTAATCCCACAGGGTCAGGAAATAAGCAGAGACAGTGTGTTTGTATCGTTGATTGATGTGGAAGCTGTGTGTGTATTTATGTCATCAAAGACTTTCCCCACATGATGAAGATGTGGACAAGAGTAGACCTTACTTTGCTGTTGTAGAGTGCCTCCAGTTCAGAGACAGAAGTACACATTGTGTAGGAAGGCAAGAACTGGTGAAGACTGGGATGAACTGCATGTTTGGATCCAAGTCTTAGGAAATCAACACCAGCCTGGGGGAATATGGGTTCATTCACAAATCTTTGCTGTACTATGCCAGTATAATACTGTATACATGTACATACTGGCTACTAAACAATAGTATGGCAAAATAAACAGGGATCGATGTGCATTGTCATTTAGTAACATACAGCACACATAGTATAGATAAGAGATCTCACTCTATGTTTGGTTGCAGTGTTTGTGTAAGACATTGTTTTGGGATTGAACTGATAACAACATCGACATAGCGTTTATCAACGTCTCAAACAAACATGTTCTAAAACCTCAACATAGAAAACATTATCAAGGTAGGAAAAGATGCATCCTATAATACTGAAGTGCCATAGTAAAGCGTACTGTGTACATAGTCACATATGTTGGGTAATTGTACATGAAATGCTGCATTATAGACAAAGAAAAATAATGAAGTGATAAGAAACGGTTCGCTCTCAAAAGCTGGCAACTTCCACTGAATTTATCTTCTTCCACTTGGCCTGTCCACCAACGACAAGAAGTCGATCGTGAGGTAGGGAGGCAACAATTGGAGTCCAGCGATCAGCCTTCATGTGTGACACAACGCTCCACGTCCCTGAACTCTGTGCGTACTCCCACACGCTATTAGTCGCTTGCGTCGCTGGCTTTTGAGAGCTCTTTCCACCGACCGCGAGTATACGTCCGTCCATAGCTACGATGCTTCCATGTGGCGCAGGAAGGTCCTTCACCCTCTGCCAGTAACCGGCGTACTTTTTGAAGAACTTTTTGTTGACTGGTTTGTTGATGTCAGAGAGGGGACAGGTGAGCAGCATCTGTTGACTGTTTACCGACTCCACATTGAAAGGAGCGAGAAAGAGCTGGTTGTCGCAGAGAGCCATGGTTCCGCCAAACACAATGTGCGGTAGGGGACTCGGGCAGGTGGTCCACTTTTTCTCGGAGATGCTCATAACTTCTACGACATCGAGTGCGCGGACCCCGCTGAAGCCGCCCGCCACGATGAGACAGCGAGGAGTGGTGAGGGTGATTGGTTCTCGCCGAGCGGTCGGCATGGGAGGGAAGGCATTCTCGTTCCACTCCCTCCTGTGGGGGTCGTAGCAGTACAGGTTTTTACTCATTGCTCCTTCCAACCCCCCGACCGTGACAAGTTTCCCGTCTATCGCAGTCAGACTGAAAGCGGTGGAGTAGCAGTCGGGAAGCGCCGTCCACTTTCCCCTCGAGTCGTAGCAGTAGACAGTTTTAGAGTTGTCGGACGCCACGTACACGTCGTCGCCAATGGTGACGGCTGATCCGGCCGATAACTCAACAGGCGCTCGTTCGGCTACTGTCCAGTGAAGAGTTCTGAGATCCCTATACCCCGCATCCCCCACCCCCACTCCAGCTGTAGTGTATGCACCCACATTACCCGAACCTCCACATCCCATCTTCTTGAAATAGAGAATCTGCTCCTCCTGGTCACGAATGGTTCGATCTCTCTCCTCGATATTCATCTCTGCCAGCTTCAGCTTCTGCTCCAGTTCGCGCATTTTGGCCTCCAGCCTCTTTTTCTCGGCGGCAACTTCTTCATTTGTCCTCTGAAACATCGCCAGAAACTCCTCCTGGTCGTTTGCTGCTGCTTTCAGCTTCTCGCACTCCTTGGTCTTCTGTTCGTACTTGTGTTTCTCTTGCCTAAGTTGCTCGCGGGTGTGTGCGAGAGTGTCGCGAGTTCCCTGGAGATTCTCGATCTGGATAGACGCCTGGTCCAGCTTCATCTGGAGGGCGTGGTTGTGCTGCTCGAGTTCGCGTGTCCTGTCGTGTTGACCAACGTGAGACTCTGTCTTGACGCGTCGGCCGATGTTCAAGCTCTGCGTGAAATTAGGCTTTGTCTTCATGGCGTTTAGTTCCAGACTCAGATTCTGCGACGAAGGTCTCAGCCCCTCCTTATCGGCAAGACAGCGCTCAGCGACAGGTCTGAGAGAGTTGGACTTTTCAATCAACTGCAGGTGATTCTTCCTCCTCTCCACCTCTGAAACAGGTACAAAGACCTGACGATCAGAAGATGATTCGGGCCGGAAACGGTTAGAGGGCTCCGGAAACTTTTGCGTCATAATCTGCACCATCAGAACCCCAAACGAGAAAACGTCCAACTTAAGTGTGTACTTCGGTGGCTCGTTGAGAGCTTCTGGTGGCATGTAAACCGGGTTACCGGGGCACAGGGTGTTGGGTTGAAACTCGGCGAGCTTCGACATCCCGAAATCGGTGATCTTTGCTTTCCCGCGACTCATGAGGACGTTGTTTGAGGTGAGATCTCTGTGGAGGAGGTTGTTGAGGTGTAGGTGGGCCAGTGCCAGAGAGATGTCCACGCAGATGTTGAGCTGCTCGTGGTAAGGTGGCCCCGAGCGCTCCAAGTAGTGTGTGAGGTTCTCGTCGCACAACTCCATCAGCAAAACCGGATTCCCGGTCACCGGTTCGAGTGTGGTTGTGAGATATTGAACGATGTTTGGGTGTCGTATTCCACTGAGTAGGTCAATCTCGAGTTTGAATCTCTCCAGAGCTGTTTCGACGCCCAGGTTTCCTGGAGCGGAGAGGGCCCTGTGCATGACCTTGGCCGCACAGGCGAGCTGGTCGCAATTTGCGTGGTAGACGGCACCGTAAGCCCCACTACCCAGCTGTCTCTCCTTGTCAATGAAGACGTTCTGGTAGTCGAGGGAGCGAGAGCCCTGTGACATGGATTTAAAGGACTGATGTCGAGATTGCTGGCTGGGGGAAAGTGGGCCACTGGAGATGGGGGACATTCGACCAAGGTTGGAGCTCAAGTGGGTGCTGTTTATAGAGCTGTTTGGACTACTCCTGTTTCTTGGAGGGAGAGGAGGACTGAGCTCTGGGTGATATACAGGTGGAGGTAGATCGCACACGGCGGTGCTAGAAGGGGTGTATTCAGGGTAATCATGTCTTGGTGGAGGATCTCTGACAGGGTGAGCAGCATATGAATCGGGATGAGGAGTGTGGAAATCAGAATTGCTGGTGTTGGGATCTGGGTAAGGGGGGCTGTATGTAGGATGGTGAGAATAAGGTGTTGGGTCGCCCTGGGAGGGCTGGAGGTAAAACCTCGCCTCGGATTGAGAATATGGGTTCTCCTCCTGATAGTGATACTGCCTGGCTCCAAGAGGAGAATCATTCCTCCCCTGCTGACTAGAGGTCTCTCTGTATGTCAAATGTCCGTGATTGTAGTCGTTGTCATAGTACCGAGGTTCTTGTAGGGCCAGTGTGTCGAGGGCAGGGGACGACTGATAGTGGTGGGCACTGTTGGGGACGTTCATGTAAACTGTTCGGTTCCCAGTTGACATGTTGCTTGTTGGGAGTGCTGAATCCTACAACAGTGCAAGTATAGGTTACAATTGGCAGGTGAGCTCAGTGCCGTCTATCACTAAATTCTTTTTGGGCCAGCAGTAGGGGCGGGTTTACGCATTGCAGCTAACTATGCCTGCAGAGTCGGTACACCCATCAGGGGAGGTCCGCAATTAGTCGTCACGGAACACCCCCACCCCTCGTCTGCGACTAGCTGGCTAGCCCCGAGCTAACCTAGTCACGGGCGTCGGGTCGCTTCAATGCGTGTCAGGCAGGGATATCCCAGTGCAGAAGGGTTAGACGACGGTTAGACACGGGTAACTATAAAATCTACAACGCGGGCGCACGCCCCCCGGTAGCCAAATAAGCGATCGCAAAACACGTAGGTATGTACATACATACACACACGTTTGCAGGGCTCACCTTTTGTGCAGCTGACCCACTGGTTGATGTTCAATCTGTTGTAGCAAGCCGAGCTACATGTACATATATACAAGCACACACAATCGTGCAACCGCAGCGTTTACGTATAGACCAAGCGACGCGCCTGAAAATTCCGTACTTTGCACTTCCTGGGTTGTGTACTCGCGCATTGATCTGTACACACATCGTTATCATCTATTTCCTACCACAGCATTCCCAAAAAAATAACTATAAAATGTGGGGCAGCGAAACAGAAATAGGTAGAGGAGAGGAAGACGTGTAGAAATGCACAGATACGTAGCAACCACCTCTTTTAGTTTCAGCAGTATGTTATCAACTGCTGAATGAGTGTAACTTGTGACGAGAACACTTGACCCTCTGCCAACCATTGTCTGAACTAACTTTGATATCGTCGTCGTTTTACCTGTCAAGTCATCCAGATGGATGGCATGGGATATTATTTGCAACACAACACAAAAAACAAATACAGTGAGAAGTTAAGAAAAAGCGTAGAAAGAGAAAAATTACCAGTCCCTGGTCTTCCAAGAATTAAGCAATAATCTTTTGAGCTGAGGACCTGTAAAATATCAATATTGATAAAATAGTAACCTTATAAGTACACATTATATTTTTCATTTAGTGTATCAAGTATATAAAACCACAGTCAAAGCATGGTAGTACAAACAGTACAAGGGGTACAAACTGAAGCCAGATATCCAGAGATTAAAGCCCCTTGGTGCTGGTCATTTTCATAATTACTCTATAAAATTGGTCTTCCAAGCCACATGAATCAACTTGGGTCACAACAACAGAGAACCCTACCAGGAACCGCAAAGTATTCCTCTAATACTTCATTGTGCTACTATAAAATTCCCTATGCTGCTCAGTGTTTAGTATCTGGGGTTGTGCAGTGTTGCAAGTAAGGCTTTTTAATGTGCGTATGATTTATCAAAATACAGATTTCAAGTTGAGCGATTGTTCGTTAGTTTTGTGGATTTGAGAGCCAGAAGTGGATCCACTGATACTGTGGTGGTCTATTGTTTGGTGATGTCGCCTTTGAAGTGTAGTGAGATTTTGTTCTTGTTTTGTTGGATGTTGTGTGTTTTGTTGTTGTTAGGCTGGGTCTTTGTGAGACAATAAGATATTCGCAACTCAGCGTCACTGGAGAAGAGAGACAGAATAACACATGTGACTGCTTTTTGTCTATATATAAATAACTCAAACCGCTACAGAGTCGGAGGCAGCGCTGCCAGGGAGGAGTCAGAGCGAGGTTGACGAGGCTGGCACTGCAACGGGGGAAGGAGACCACGATATCCAGTCTGGTATCTCTACGATACATGCAATGGCCGTGGGCGGCAGAGAAAAAGAAAAGTTATCAAAAAACTGTAGAGTACAATGTTATTGGAGAACAGAGTTGCTCGTGTAACAGTGTAACAACATGCTGAGTGCAGTACTTATCTATTCCTTGCGCAAATCTCTAGTGCGGAATTGAAGGTAGAGCTAGGTAGATGGGTCTGCGCGCAAACTTGACTTGCCAACATGAGAGTAGTTATGGTATTAGGGTTTTACGATGGGCGATCTACATGTCAAACTCTATGGTTCAATGTGGTTGAAGACAGCGCAGTAGTCGGGACAATAATACTAGAGGTATTGTTGGTTGGTGCATTTGGTCTGTTGGTGAATTACTTCAAACCCAGTTCTCATGTTTCAAGAGTATTATATTATAGCCCTAAGTAAAACCCCACTTATCTTACTCTCATAAATAAATGCCAACCAGGATGTAAAGAGCATACATTACACTGCGCTTGGGGCATATTCATATATAGTGTAGTAAGGGAAGGGAAGTGGATGGTGCAAGGGAAGGAAGTCCTGTCTCCGATCGCCTCATCGTACAGCGGTGTGGTGGGGAAGGGTATTATTATAACTGGCCACATTTGATTAGAGTGATGCGTAAAAGCACGTGAAAAAGTAAACACATAAAGCAAGAGGGGGAATATTTGAGCAGCAGTATCTTTAGAAATCCAGTCAGTATATACTGCAGCAGGCAGAAGTGTAAGTCACCACTTTAGAAATGCTAGTTCAGTTGGCCACTACCAAAAACCTCTCACATAACTGAAGTTCCTCTAGTAGCTCCCAGCACATACGTTTGCCAAAACCACAACGTAAAAAAAACTGTAGCTCGTACTATCCTAGGACAGTCACATCACTGCGCGTTGCACGGTGACTCTCCCCATGGCAACAAGCCGGAGTCCGTCGTGACGAGGCTGACGACACAACTCTATCGTTGAGTGTAGCGTGAGGGTGAGAGTAGGGGAGGAGTGAGGGTTGAGAGGCGGGAGTAAAGAGCTTGGTGTCGGGTGAATTTTTTGCCAGAGTGGCGATCTGAGGACGAGGCCGGGTCTCGTGACGGGGATTTGTATGGCGCAGCATGGTAGCCATGGCAGACCCTCCTTTCTCTGGAGGAGAGTGACACATGAGGTCAATCGAGTATGCACAGCTAGACCTCACTGCATGAAAGGTGTTCATACATCGTACCGTTCCCCTAGTGGGCATGTCATTGCACCTTAGGCATTTCTTGTATCTACACTCAGTGAGCATCTGTACATGTGTCCCCGATTTTCTTTTACTTTGTTGTGATTATTGTGTTGTTTTCTTTTTTGGTAGACGTTTGCACGCCCCTCTCCTTAGTAAATATATTCGCACGTCACTTTCCATATCGTGTTACTAGTCTATAAGAATATTTTCATTTACGTAGCTGCAATAGTGACAAGTATAGTGTTAGATCTCTGTACTGGGAACACGGAAGGATTTGACGGGCCATTAGAGTATCATACCTAAGCTTTAGACAGTATATAACTCCAGAATTCTCTCCTTGGCTCTCCTACCTACCTTCTCTCTCTCAGTAGCCGCAGGTACGGGTCCAATGCGCGCACACAGCATCACACCTAGGCACACAACATATCTCAACACATCAGCTGCCACAAGCATGTATCCCCAGCCTGTGTAGCCAAAACCAACTTAATAAGTATAGTCATAACGCGAGACTAGACTACCAACACTGCTTATTGTTAAGTTACAAGCCAGAGAGCCAGAGAGATAAAGCAGAGAGAAAAGGTGAGACGACGAGTTTATCCACTGATCACACCTAGACCCTCGCATAGTACACAGTTTATGCCGAGATCTCCTGCTGGAGTGTCGCTGCCTATTCAGAGTTGACCTCGCTCGGAATGATTATAGAAAGGGATTCCGAAGCGCACGTGTCAGTACTATGACGGAAATAGGATGGCATGGACACTGGGTATGTGGCCACCCAGGTAATGTGGAAAGCCCTCCCAACCTGTACTCTCTACCTTCTTTCTCACCCTATATGTCCTCTCTTATGTTTCTTAAAAATCCACACACACACATCACCACACACAGGTACTATATCAATAAAAACACGCATCCAGATAACGTTGAGGTGAGGCTTGCACCAGCGAGAGACCATTACACCAGTGAACTTTCGTGGGGGGAATGAACCTTGCATGAAAATAGCTGTTGTAAGGCAAGCTAGCTGATGAGCAAAGCTAACCCATCTCCATGATTATAAATTAAAACCGCGCAGGCTCACCCTGTGTGACACTATAGAAAAACTGAGACAGGGGGTGTTTGATCCGTAACTCATGAATAATTTATTAAGGAGTAACTATAGGAGTAGTGCTCATTAAAAGAGGTAGAAATGTTATGGTGAATATGTGTCTAGTGCTGGAATTCACTTACAATTGTAGCACACAATCAGTATGCTGTAGTGGTGATTACAGGTGCAGTGAGCTCACCTGAAGAAATCCAGGTGCCTCTGTGTGAGGTGGTGGGTGTGGCTCTGGAACAGCTCCCCCAGTCCACTGGTGACCGCCGTCCCTTGCTCCAGTGACCTGGGTACAGGAGGTCAGTTTTGATAGCTGTGGTGTACCAAAAATTCAAGGTAGCAGGGCAAAGGCAAGGCAACTACACCAGAACAGCTCTGTTCAAAGGAAAAAAGAAGAGCTGCCCGCATGCAGCCAAGGAATGGCAAAGGCAAAGTAAACAAGTCAGCTACACCCAGGACAGCTCTTTCATTCCAAGGAAAAAAGAATAAGTATGTAGCTGCCCGCATGCACACTGAGAGATGCTTTTTTGATACTGTGGGGTTGTGCTTCCCCATCCCTTTGGGCGCCATGCGTATCTCCTTAAATAAGCAGAAATTGATTTATAACGTATTAACGCCTAGTATATACCAATATACTATAAATTCTTATGGACTTATGGAGGATCGAGGCATATATAATGCCAGTGGCTGGCTAAGGGTTAAAAACACATGATAGTCAACAATAGCAGAAGAATTATTCAACATTCCATACTTGTGAGCAAGGGAGCACTGGGGTAGGTAGGGGCAGTACTTGCAGACGTGACTATCTCTCAGCATCCCAGGCAGGGTCATGTTGCTGGCCAACCTCCCATGGTTTGAGGCCACACTGTTTCGAGCCATGAGAAGACCTGGTTGTTTTAGAGTGATGGTAGGGAATGAATCGGAATGGAGAGGGGAAGACAGAGGGCTCATGAGATCTACGTATTGAATACTACATACAAGATTAGCAAGCAATATCTGAGGGGCACAAACATTCAATGGCCTATACAATGCCCCACCAAGTAATAGAAAGAAGGGGTGTGCGGTGCCCTGAAAAGTTTTCACCAGCTACGTATGTCCCTCCAAGAGCTGTTTAGCAGTAAATTGCAAGTGCTTCTTACAGATAATAATATGCCACAAATAATATATACAGTGCATGCACCTCACCTATGCACATGCCACAATGTAAGCAGGCTGTATAGCTCCTCAGCTCACCCAAAACCAGATATGCAGATACTCCCCTTTAACTCACTTAACCTGCCACAGACACATAAACGTGTCCAGAGCCTCCATAAACCCATAAGAATATATATGGGGGTCATAATACTAGGCGCTAATACTTTATACATCAATTTCTGTTTATTGAAGGAGATACCATGCATCCAAAGGGTAATCGCCCAAGCCAACATACTACCTCGTTTATGTCGTGATCCTCAGCTGGGAGTCCCTGCATGTGTCCTGCCTTCATGTAGTAGAGAAGGCCTCCCGGGACACTGGCATTGCTGTAGCGGTCTCTCAACATCACCGAATACAGAGACAGCTGCACAGTGAGAGAGGAGGCAAATGGGAAAAAAAAATCTGCAGCAGGATTATCTGTATGAAAAGGTTTCTGGTCATCATGTAGACAAAAGAAACTTTGCAACAGCAATTTCTCACACTGTATGTTAGGACATACTTATTAACCCTCGGTGCAGCGAGGGTTGCGGTAGTTGTCATGTGTGTCTGTCTGTCTGTCAATTAGTCTGTTAATCGACATCTCACTTCACGGGCCATTTTGTAGCTTAGTTTAGTTACATATAGTTGCAGCAAACTGAAAAAACTCTGTTTAATGCTGCTGTATAGTTTGTTACCAGTGGTTTAGAATGCACCGGGTTGCAAAATATTCGGAGGGAAAAAAGAGAACATACGTCTATAAAGGGAGAGGACATGGACAAACTCAGCTGCATGGTCACAGCCAATAGCCA